TCCACGTGCCCTCACATCAGCGTGAGGAAGAGGCCGGGGTGGAACTCACCTCTGCCTGGTGAAGGGGCAAGTTCTCCCCCGCCAGCAGGTAGCCCTCCACCAGGTGCACGCAGTAATCTACGGAGGAGCCGACGAGGATGGAGAGAGAAATCGCCTCCACGGCTCCCATTTCCCAGCCGGACCAGTACATGATGGTCACCACCAGGCAGACGACCCCTGCACAGAGAGAGGGGAACAGCAAGCAAAGTTGGGCTTCAGGCTAGATCAAGCCTGGGCTCTCTGGACAGGGAGCATCAATCCAAGCAGCTTCACTGAAGCCAATGAAGCAGAGACAGCCCTGTGCACCGCCGTCGACCGCAGGGCGTCCCAGCCAGCCGATCCCTTCCTCCCCGCATCAGATGGAGAGAGACCCCGAACCAGAACTGGGCACTCTGCCCTCCTCTCGTAGCAGGCGTTTTCTGAGAGTCTGGATGTTCTTACCGTCGGGATGGAAAGTCAACATCTCGAAAATATTCATCAATCAAAAAGCCCCAGACCTTTCCCATTTCTGCCGATTGACAGATTTGATTTTGATTTTCACCTTTTTTCCCCCCGGTCTAATTATCTTAAATTTCAAAACAAAAAGTCCTTTCAAACCAGAAAACTGGGAATGTCTCATTTTTGATGATTTTTTCAAGTGGGGAGAGCCTCCGACACGGACCTGGTTCCACAAACAGTTTCTGTTTCTAAGAATCTGTATTTGTTTGGTGAAAAACGATTTGCTGAAAAATTCCCGAGCAGCTCTGCTGAGAACCTAGGGGTGGAGCTTCCAAATTACGCTCAGATTGTGAGTCGCTCGGATTTGTGAGTCGCTCAGATACGAGAGTGATTGGGGATTGTATGAGAGAGAGAGACCGACTGACTGTGTATAGGGATATACAGACTGACCGACCACTGTCGGTGGTTCTCAACCTTTCCAGAGAACTGTACCCCTGGCAGGAATCTGATTTGTCTTGCGTACCCCCAAATTTCACTTCACTTAAAAACCACTTGCTTACAAAATCAGACATCAAAATTCAAAAGTGTCCCAGCACACAATTACTGAACAACTGCTCATGTTCTCATTGTTACCATATAATTATCAAATAAATCAATTGGAATATAAATATTGTACTTCCCTTTCAGTGTATGGTATAAACAAGTCATTGTCTGTATGGAATTTTAGTTTGTACTGACTTCGCTAGCGCTTTTTCTGTAGCCTGTTGTAAAACTAGGCAAATCTCTAGATGAGTTGATGTACCCCCTGGAAGACCTCCGAGTGCCCCCGGGGGTAGGTGTACCCCTGGTTGAGAACCACTGATCGACAGTAACCTTTGGCGATGAAGCACAGCCCAAAAGGGAGGGGGGGAAGCACCCATGTTACAAAACCCCCTTGATTTGCTTGTCTGAGTTCTGCATGTGTTTGGTTTCTAGAAGAAAGTGATGTTTATTTGTGAGTCATGAGTGGGAGACTAAATCATTTTCAAATGATAGATTTGCTTTTTAAAAAGGGAAGTTTAGCAACATGCTCAGTCCATAATATGGTCAAATCACCAGCCAGGCAGAGGCAGGCTATTTACAAATGTGTTTAAAACACTAACGAACTCACTAAAATATTCTGTGTTTATAATCCCCCACTGAGGATCTTTGGAAAGGAGAGTGATTGCTATTCAGAGCACATGGGCCTTAATCACATTATTATACACCAGAGGCAGGGCTGGCGTTTGGGTAGCTAAAACCCTTATTTAAACCAATAGAGGAGATTGTGTAGAGAAAACGCTCCAGAAAGTAGACAGGAAAAAAAAAATCTACTTTCAAGCTGGGGACCCTTTGCAAACGCGGCTCCTGAGTCCCTTCCCACCCACTCCCAGGGCAATCAGGAGTGAGGCCAGGGCCCATTGGAGTCACTCTGCTGTAAATCAGCAGTGACTCCAGTGCAGGCAATAGGAGCACAGCAGTGTAAACGAGAAGAGAATCAAGCCCTGTACGATTCCTGCTGGCAATGGGAAGTTGAAGACCTCTGGAGGTGTCTTACCTAAAATACTGAGCAGCACTGGCAGCAGGAGGAGAAGGTGGGTGGTGAACACGGCGACTGCAGCCACGCAGATAACCAGCGAGAGGAGGAGACCGTACAGGGCGCTCTGCACACCTGGAAGAGAGCAAGTGGCCTGGCTCCAGCCTCGGACTGCAGCAACGGCTGCGCTCCCAGCTGAGCTGAGCTGAGCAGGGCCTGGCTATGGGGCAAATCACCCAGCTGGGAACTAACTCCAGCTGGGGCAAACGTGACGAGGAGGATGTAGGGGATGGGGAAATGGAGTGGGAGTCAGGGGAGCCAAGTTCTACCCCTGCTCTGCCACTGACTGGCTGGGTGAGCGTGAGCAAATCGCTTCTCCTCTCCAGGCCTCGGTTTCCCCTCCCAGCCTGGTTCTGTCTTGTCTCTTTAGCCTGTGGGCTCCTCGGGGCAGTGAGCATCTGGACAGGTGTTCGTACAGCCCCCAGCACGATAGCTGCCTGATCTTGGCTGGGGCCTGGGGCTGCTCCCACAACACACGAGAATAAGAAGGAAGTTGGGGTGAAGATCAATGACCGAGCCAGGGTGACAGGAGGGCAGGGTGACGGGGAGGGGATAGGTGCTGAAGCCCCTACCTATGATCTCCATGAAGATTTGCTTCCAGTGCTCGCAGGTCTGGAACCCGTGCCGGAGAGCGGAGCTGTCAGGGAAGAGCTGGAGCTGCTGCTGCAAGAAAGTTTCCCACTTCAGGTAGTCGGAGTAGGTCTGGAAGGAAGACTTGCCCTTGTAGGTCGTCTGCAAGGAAGCAAATGGGCCGGTCCTTAGAGTCGCTAACACAACCCCACCATCTCCCATTCACACCTACCCGCCCCAGCTCTCCTCACTCATCCGGGGACCCACTCAGCTGCCCTGCTCCGGAGCCCAGGAGGAAGAGCAGGTGTATTCGTCTGCAGGACGCCTGCTCCATGCACGCCCGATAGCCAAACCAAGGGCACCGCAAAGCCAGTGCCAGCCAGCCCGTCTGATGGGCCAAAACCAGTGATCACAACCGCCAGGGCAGGCTCTTTAGGGCTGGGGAAGAGGCAGCTGGGTTTGCAGCTCCCAGGGGGAGTCCACAGCGCTGGCAGCTGAGAAAAACCTCGGGGATCTACGCGCCAGGCCTGCAGCCTCCCCCTTTGTCCAGGCCATTTTGTGGGCGCGAATGGTAGCAGTCAGATGCCTCTGTCATTTGCAGCCCCAAGCAGGTCGACGCCCACCTGCAGCGGGAGCACAGCTATTGGCAAGTGCAAAATGACGCCTGCAGATGAAGGAGGGCTGGCGCTGCAAAGCCGAGCCTTGGAGAGAGCAGGGTTAATACATGGACGTCTGGGAGAATCGGTGCGGAAGCCAATGACACCATGTGGACAGCCCCTGAAACGCGGCTGCTTGCTTTCCTCCTGCACCCCCGCGTCGCGTGCTGGGGGAGCGGGTAGCAGGGGAAGGAACAGGGAACATGGAAGCGCCCTCACCGATTCAAAAGCCATGGAGATCCACTGCACCTTGCCATCCTTCACCCCCACCGCCCCGTGGGAGAGCTGCCCAGGGAGCAGGTTCGGCTCAGGGAGGTTCTTGCACTCGGGGTGCAGCATCTGCAGAAAGGAGGAGATGCTGTAGCCTGGAGAGAGAGAGGAGGGGAAGGAGGGGGGAGGGGCAGAGAAGACAGAGTTGCAGTTCTTGTTCATGAACAGCTGCTTCTCCTGTGACCTGCTCTCCCCTGGCTCCAGATTTGGATTCTTGGCACCACGGGGCCTGTCCCTACCAGGGGTCGAGAGCCCTCAGCTACTGCTGGCTTCAAAGGGAGCAGAGGGCATTTGGTACCTCTCAGGAGACGCTAGTCTTCCAGCAGGATGGGGTGGTAGGCCAGTGACCCCCTGTTCTCTAGGCCAGGCCCTTAGCTGATGTGGGTGCACACAGCTCGCTTGGAGTCAATGCAGTGGCATTGCATTATGCCAGTTTTTCACCTCCTTCCCCAGCTGTGAGAGGGTGGGACTGACCCTCAGGGATCCCTCCCGCCCCCAAAGGCAGCTCCTGAACTCTCGGTGGCATTTACATTGGGGCAGAAAGACATCGCGTCGGGCTGCAAAGCTGCAAGGTCAGGAGACAATGCCGACACTCCAAATCAACAAGAGAGTTTTGCTGGCAGGGTGAGTGACAGATGTTTGAAGGCAGGGGTGGCTGGCTCCAAGAACACTGCCGGCCTTGCCCTGGGTTACTGGGGTACCCTTCCTTACCCAGGTCTAAAACTGGCCCAGGGCTCCTCCTGATACGGGTTAACCTGCAGCTCCCTCCAAACCCAACACAGAAGTTTGCTGCATCATCTCCACCACGGGCTCCCTGCCGTCCTGGCCCAGGGGGACACCTCCTTGGGGTGCGACATGCCGGGTGAGTGACTACGAAGCCGTGCCACGTACCCAGGAGGGGTTACCGGTTCACTCTCTGGAGTCTCTGCTCTGTGGGGACAGTGGGCCAGATCCTGCTCTACCTTGCACGGGGGTAAAGTGGAGGAACTCCACGGACATCATGGAGCCACCGTGATGGGAATGGACTGGATGATCTGCTCCATCTCTCAGCTCCGTGATAGAGGAAGCTGAAAGATCCCTTCTGCAGCTTGTCTGGCTAGGGCACGTCTTGCTCAAACCCAGCTACGAGCACAGGAAAAGGTTAGCAGGACGGTTCGGGGAGCAGCTCCACTGGGCCCAGCGTCTATTATTTAACTACTCCCCAAAGCATGAGCCAGAGCGACGGAGCCAAGGGTCACAGCCCCTGGGAGCCAGTGGCAGGAGACTCGGGAAGTACGATTTCAGATAAGATTTGCAGTGAGATGGAGAATAGGACAGGATGGGGCAATTTCTACGGCTCTTACCAAGCCCACCCGCCACGCGGGCTTAGCCTCTACACGGGGACCTGTCAATGCCGGGCACCTGTCCCCGGACTTTCGTCCTACATACCTGAGGGCAGGCACTGGGCCCCTCCTGGCTTCACCAGTTCAGCATTGCCGGCAATGGCCTTGCAGATGAGGCACAGGTTGCCAATCTCTTTGAAGAGGTCAAAGCTGTCATCGTAGATAACGCTGCCCTTTCCCAAGGAGACACAACAGCGAGAGCCAAACACGTGAGGCACGCGCCCAGCGCCTGGCGGGGTGGGGCAGGACTCGGGCGTATGACTGACCACACATTCTCCACCCCCCAGCTGGGCACGTGGTCCAGAGAGAACAACTGGCATCCTAGTTCCGGGAGCCGGAGTCCTGCCTTGGACACCAGGAGTAGTGGCATGAAGAGGCAACGTGGGTTGCTCAGCAGGTTAGCCTGGGGTGCCCCTGTACCCAGAACCCTGCCCAGCTCCCAGCAGCATCCAGACAAGTCTGGCGAGCCAACCAGAGCTCTAGAGGTGTTACAGCTACGCCCCAAGGGCTTTTCGACATGCGAGATACAAGCCCCATCTACACCCCAAAAGAGCGCCCCTTTAACTAGCCCGGTGTAGTTAGAGTGGCACACCCCCTGCTGGTATAACGGTGCTTACAGCTGTATAATTTATTCCTGCAAGGAAGAGGCACCATTATACTGATATAACTGCGTCCACACCAGGGTCTGGACTGATTTAACTCCCCAACATCATTAGCCCGGTACAAACCCGGGGCAGAGCAGGCCCTAGACAATCCAACGCCCAGGCTAGACGAGGGGAGTGTGGGCAAGTGACCACAAGGGCATTCACAGCATGGCTGATCGGATGTTGACTAAGCACACGGACCCCCTACCCCTCCTGTAGGAGCAGCCCAGACAGCTCCTTGTGGGACCTGCAGCTCTATCCCCTGGCTGTATTCCGGAGGGGTACTGCACTATGGGAAGGATCTGCAGTTCCCTGGAAATGGAGGTAAGCGGGTGTTTATTGGGGAAGCAGCATCCATGTGTCCGGCTTGGGAACTAGGCTGCACATGGACAATCAGAGTCCCTAGAGTAACTGACTCGTATTTATTTAATCTAACATCTCACCGCAGGCCAGACAACAGTTATGCAGCAATGGCTCTGGCTCCACAGTCAAGTTTTCAGCCACGTTTCCACCCTAAGTCTGATCTGGGTCCCCCCTTTAAAATCCACAACAAACCCCAGAGGGTCTCAAACGTACGTGGTTAGATCCTGGGCTCTGGGAAGCTGGAAATAATTTGCACCAGGGGTCCCTGATTTACATCTGCAGTAAGCTCGCAAACAACGAACGTGCTTTAGTAAGTGCCTCATCACAGCACTGCCGCCTCTGCTATTTTAGCTGGTCGGGGTGGGGAGGGATTGCTGGAGAGTCCGGGGTGCGCACAAGAATTCGGGGAGGCGGGCATTGGTGCAATCTAACTCGGGGAAGTCCTCCTGCATCAGCCCCCCTCAAGGGCTTGCCAGGCCCGCATGCAGGAAAGCACGTGTACCATGTCTCCAATGACGTGATTATCCGGGCGTCGGGTGTGATTCACCCCGCGGATGCCAAACACCACAAACACCATGGCCCCTGTGTCCACCAGCGGCCGCACTGCCGGCTTCCCGCAGCCAGTGTTCCCACACGGGTTAAAGCCCGAGGTGGCCGAGACCTTCACCTTGGGGGACACTGTCAAACAAAGAGGGGAGGGTTACAAGCCGAGAAAGCCAACACTCCCCCTGGCCAGCCGTTCCACTGCAGCCGTGCCCATGTGCCCCCTGCAGCTCTCCCCAGCTTACCCTTCTCGCTGGGCACATAGAGGAAACCTTTGTTGGGTCCGTCCGGGCTAGAGCTGAGAAGACAGCCAGGGGGCGCTATGCACACTCGGCCGTGGTAAGGGGGCTTGTGCGACTGGGCGAAATACAGCTTCCTGCAGGGCAAACAGAGGGCATGACGGAGCGTCCAGCGCAGCAAGGCGGGCGCGAGATGCCAGCACAAAGCAGCTCGGTGCGGCCGGGCCCTTAGGAAGCAGGTTTAGGGGCTTGGCAATGGAAACGGCGCCGGGGGGAGGAGAGGGAAGGAGGGGGCAGGTGAGGGAAGGAAGCTCTGGAGAAGCAGTGAAAAGAATTACGGGAGAAAGCGACTCAGATGTGTCATGAGTTTGTGCCCACAGGAGCGGTGTATGTGCGCTGCCCACAGCCACACACAGCCAAGAGAGGGATTTCTCTCTATCACATAAGGAATCCACTAACAACCATCCATTCGTTACACTAACAGCATCGATGATCCCACGCTCCTGGACAGAACCTCCCACCCTGGGACCCCGGTGGCCTCTGCAAAGGTGGGAGAGTATCGCAACAAACTCATGACTTCACAGAGTTCCCTGGGCAGGGCGCCACGGCCACACACCGAACGCAGAACCTCCTGTTCCAAACACACAGGCTAGACTCTCCATTAGCCAGAAGGGGCTATGGTGCATAGCTGAGTAATTCCAATTCTACCCAGAAGAGGGCAGCAGCGCACAATACGTAGCAGAATTAGACCCATTTTGCAGATGAGGAAACCAAGGCTCAGAGAAACGAAGCCTCTTGAGCGAGTCTGTGGCAGAGCTGAGGAGAGACCTGGGCATCCTGACTTCCCCACTCCTTGCACTGACCACGAGGCAGCGCCACTCCCTGGCTGCTGACCATTTATGGCTCTGAACCCACTTGGGACGGTTACCGCGTTCGCTGCTGCTCCTTGGCCGCGACGTAGAAACTGAAGTCGAACTTCCAGCCTCTCTTGGCATCGCAGGATAAGGTGGTCATCATCCATTTCCGGGGGCTCGTCTGCTGAAGCAGCCCTACTGTGGACACACAAGCTGTCAGCTTCTTGGTGAAGTTACCGAAAGGAACTCTATACACCTAAGCAATGGATTAACGAAAACAGACACTTAACCGCACAGTGCCGCAGAGCAGGCAAAGGTCAAAGAGACGTTAGCATCAGACACTCCCCGCCCCCGCTTTACCCTGAGCCCTCACAGGGCCAGAGAGAAAAGATTCTGCAGGGAGGAGCTAATCCATTGCCGCCCAGACCTGCCTCTCCCACTCCTCTGCCTCCTCCCCGAGCGTGGGGAGCTGGATCCAGCTAGAGCCTGGCTGCCAGGGGAGCTGAGCTCCCCCAGACTGCAGCTGGAGCTGTGGTTGCTCACCCCTGCTGCAAATCAAGTGCTAGGGGGATCTCCGCCAGACAGCCACCAGGCTCCTTGTGCAGGCCTGGCTCAGCCCCTTAGGCTGGGATCAAGCCGTTCGGCTGCCCTGCCTGCACATGGACGGACGGACAAAGCGAGGATCCCAGAACGGCTCAGAAACCTCCCGTAGGTCAGTTCTTATCCCTCGCCGCCTCCCGCCTGCTCTCCCGCAGTGTCTCTGGGATGAACGGTGGCACAATGGCAGCCCAGGATCGACACCTGGCATCCCAGCAGCACTGGGTAGGACACAAGCAATGTTCCTGTCCGTGCCAGCTGGGAAGCCAGCGGTGCGAGCTTCCTCACAGCAGTGCCCTGTTGCTTTCATCTCTGAGCTCCTGCTGGCTGCTCTGAAATGCAAGCGTGCCATAAAAGAGTTTAATGCACACCCTGAACTCACCTGGAACGAGGGCACTTCCCCATCTCCCGGGGACACCGTCTGCCACGAGGCAGGAACGCTGGCGTTGAGGGAGAACCTGTAGACGGCTGGCCTGCCCTGGCCTTTGGACTTGGAGACATACACAGTCCCCTGGGGATCTAGAAAAACACACCCCAGTCAGCCGGGTGGAGGTGAAAGACATTGATCGGCCGGCTAACGCTACAAACCAGGGGAGCGAACGCAGAGGGCGTCCGGTTTATCCTCTCCCCAGCGCTAGCCGAACACAACTCTCTGCCTCTCCACAGGATGGCGCCATTTCCAACCATGCTCTATGAACACGGGAGCAAGATCCTAAGCTGCCGCAAGCTATGGAGCCCTACTGACCCCGTTGGGGCTATGAAGCTCGGGGTCTGACCCATCCTCCAACCCCTTGGGGTGCAGGATGAGGAAACTAGCAGGTTTAATGACTTCCCAAAGCCCGGCAGCAAGTCAGTGGCAGAGCGGGGACTAGGACTCAGCTGTTCCTGGCTCCCGGTCCCATGCTCAGACCACTAGACCACACTGCCACTCTGTTAAGCTGCTCTTCCCAAGTGCCTGTCTGCTGTGCAGCTCTGAGGAGTTGAAGCACCGGGAGCAATGACTATTTTGGGGCAGAAGGAAGGCGAATGTTCTCAGTGGCTCGTCATTCCCTGAACCATATGACGCCCAGCATCAAATCAGGGCTTGGTAGGGAGGCATCTGAAGCTACGTCCCTTTTCTCTGTCTGTTTAGAGCCGATCTTTGTTATGTCCCTTCCCAAACAGGATCTCGGGCCCGGCCCGAAGTCGGCGACAGGACAGAATGACCGACGGCCAGTCCCCTTGTGCACTCACCCTGCTTCACAGCATCAGCCATGCCCCCTCTGCTCCCCCAAGGGGGCCCCGAGCCCCGTTTCTTCTTCTCCAAGGAGGTTCGGATGTTGCTCTGCAGATTGTGGGGCTTTTCCTGAAACAAACCTGTCCCACAAGGTTAGTCAGGGAGGAAAAGGAGAATGGCATTGTCAGAGCTCGGTGTGCCAGTAACACAGCGGGACCTCCATCTGCTCGGCCCCACACCCAGCGCTCCCCCTCCTGGGCCGCTCACACGCCGGGACCTCCGTCCGCTCGGCCCCACACCCAGCGCTCCCCCCCCTGGGCCGCTCACACCCCGGGACCTCCGTCCGCTCGGCCCCACACCCAGCGCTCCCCCTCCTGGGCCGCTCACACCCCGGGACCTCCGTCCGCTCGGCCCCACACCCAGCGCTCCCCCTCCTGGGCCGCTCACACCCCGGGACCTCCGTCCGCTCGGCCTCACACCCAGCGCTCCTAGGCCGGGAACACACCAGGCCTTGTCAGCTCAGCCCCAGCCAAGCACAGGTAGAGCAGGGGCACTGCCCCTCTGCCGGCAGGGCAATGTTCCCTTAGAGGGGTGCAGGAGGAGGAGGAGACCAGCTGTCACAGCAACATAGGTGGCAATAAAGAGAGGGTTTAGCTTAACCCCGGGGCTCTGCACAGGGCTAACGTCTCCGTCTCAGCTCCAGCTGCAGCAGGGCTGCCCTGGCATCAGTGGGAGGGGTGTTCCCCTGGAGTTGCCCCCAGCCAGATCCTGGCTGAAGTGGCCATTTCTCGCTGCGGAGGGGCAGGGCAGTGAGCTCCCAGAGACAGACTGTCCTGAGCGCCTGCATTTCTGCTTTCCCTCCTGCAGCCCAGCTGCCACCCCCACCCTGCACGGCCGGCTTAGAGACAAAGGAGTTCAGGGCACCGGCCTTTGCCTGCTGCCAGCCAATAGACACGGACTTCACAGTGACAAAACCCACCTTCCTGGGCAACGGGCAAGTCCCTGGGCAGCCCCAGCTGTCCCGAAAGGGGCGGGTCTTTCTCACAAGTGTGGGACTAACACTGATCACCATGGCGAGAAGGAAACATTTGCTCCCTAATCCCTGGGTTTTTCCTTCCCCTGCTGAGCTGAGAGCACCAGAGAGCATGGGGAAAAGGGGCCCAATACGACAGGAATCTCTCTCCCTCCCGAATTCTCTGGGCATGTCTAGCGGGCAAGGGAGGCCAGCAATGCAGAGGGGAAAGGGAGAGAGGGCAGCCGAGGAGGGCTCAGAAGAAGGCATTGATGGGAGGCAGGGTTTGCAAGGGGAGCGCCGATGACCTGCGGCTATTCACCCCATCTCTGCCGTGCAGGAGCGGCGAAGGGCTGCCCCCATCCGACCCTTAGGAACTCTCACCTGAGCAGGTGACGCAGGAGATGCCCTCGGCGCTCAGGTTGTACTTGAGGTCCAGGAGCACCTGGATGTTGGTGTTGGGCCGGAACAGGAGAGGAGCGCGGCTAGCTGGGCGGAGGCGGCTAGCGAAGAATATGGACAGGATCAGGACCATGACAAAGAGCCCTGCAACAAGAGGCACAGCCAGCATGTGGGACTCTGCACACACAGAGCTCTCATTCGCACGGTGTCCCCAGGGGCTGGCCATAGAGCGGCACCCAGGGGAGCAGAGTGCCGGGGGATTCCCCAGGCTAGCAGGGAAGCGACGGGTGCTGGATGCCCAGGTGCAGGATGCCCAGGTGCAGAGAGAAAGCCTAATGCCATCCAGAACACGGCAGCACCGTGTCTTCCCTAAATGTAAGGTGGCCGGCAAAGCCCAGGGGGAGCGCTGTGCCAGCGGGGAACGGGCAGAGTTATCTGCCATACACAGACCTATGCAGGTGGCAGAGACGAAGCAGGGTCTCAGGACACGGTCATTCCCCTGGGAGAGCAGGAGGAGGCGAGATCTATGTCCCATGTGCCTGTCACAGGGGCGGGGCCGCGACGCTATGTCCAACCTCGGCCTCCCCTCACCGTTAAGGCTGAGGAATTCTGGGAGCGCTGCCCAATTAGAGTCTGTGGGACGCACCCTAGGGGAGGGCGTCCCTCTGGCCATCCTTACCCACAATCACCCATCTGTTCTTCCCCGCAGACCACAGCGCCCAGTGCTGGAGGAGCTCCTGCAGATGGGCGATCAAGTGACCCTTCCTGACCTTCTCGGCTGGGAGCTGCAAGTTCTCCGGCAGCGCCGACGCCAAGGGCACATCCCCCATTTCCAGAGCCACTAGGGGAGAAAGAGACCAAAGGCAGGCTCAGAGCTTGGCTCGGCCCCCAAGCCCCTCGCAGTGGCACAGAGCAAAGAGCCAAGGAGAATGAGAAAGGCAAGTTCTCCTGAAGCCCAGAGTAGCCAGGGAGATGGACAGACGAGGGGACACTTAGAATTTCACTCAGCCCTGCACCCTTCAGTGCATCAAACCCACTGGCCAGGCTGGAGCAGAAGCCAGAGCCGAGCAAGGCAGCGACTTAAAGCTCCTCTTACGAATAGACGTATGTGCCCAGCAAGCCGCTACCTGCTGCTCTCATCTGTACTGTGGTCGCCGCTATAGGCGCCGGCGCGCCAGGTGCTGCACAAACTCTTACACGCGAAGCTGAGGGAGGGTGGGAGGGGCACAGAGGTGCAGGGAGGTGAAGTGGCTGCCCAAGGGCATGCGACGGGTCAATGGCAGGAAACGAAGCCCTTTTCCCAAGTCCTTGTCTAGTGCCCTATTCACTCGGGCACGTACCACACTGCTAAGGAGAGCAACCAGCAGCCCTCCGAGAGGCTTGGTTTGGAGAAAACCCCGACAAAGGCTGGGCTGCTGATCTGAAGTATCCAAACCTCTGGAGACTGCAGAGCAGGGCAGGAGGATTTCTGTTCCGGCTTGGGATGCCCTGATAACACCCTGTCTCTCTGGGGTTTAGCATTTCCACGGTTACTACCAGTTGGAACCAAGAAAGAGGGGGAAAAAATGTTACATTCCATTTTCTTTCAAACCTCCTAATAGATTTGGCATCAGTGTAGCCCCTGAGTGAAGGTTTGGGCGAGTTCTTAAATGCGAATAAATCACTCAGCAGGTCTATAGGATCTCCAAGCCCTTTAACACCATTTCAATTGAGTCTCGCGGCCCCCTCGTGAGATAGGGAAGCACCATTATCCTCTTCTTCCAGATCGGGAAACTGAGGCACAAAGAGGGTCCGCAACTTACCCAAGATCACACATTTAAACCAGAGGCAAACTGGGAACAGACCCCAGCTGCCCTGAGTCCCAATACTATGCTTTCGGCTGGTTCTTTCCCCCACTTTGGTCTGAACTCTGCCATTAATACAGCACACGTGGCTCCAGGCAGGATCTGACCCTTTCCCTGACCTGGTATGTCCTGTGTAGCAGGGAACTTACCAACCTATGTGTCTCCCTGTTATGGAATCACCCCCACTGAAACCCATGGCCATAAACAACCCAGGAGGAAATGAGTCCCCATCCTGCAAAAGTACCAACACCCTCTGTTCCCACTGCCTGTGCTGGGTGTGGGTCACTCAGCACTTGGCAGCATCCAGACGTATAGAAAGCAAAGCAATTTGTGATGCAAAATGTTGGGGTTTGGTAGGAACCTCACCTTTACAAGGAAACAATGATCCCTCCACCCCTCTTCCCCCAATACAACCTGGTCCCCCCGTACCCTCCCCCCCAGGCTACAACCCCCAGGGCTTTTCCGGGGCAGCAGGCACTCCAGTCTCCTTAATGTGGCAGGAGAATGACAGCATCCAATTTCCATCCGATGGCCACGTGCCGCCTCTGCGCCACGAAGAATCAGCCTCTCATTTGCAAGTGGCAAGATGGAGCTTTCTCCGGTGGGGTCGGAGAGGGCACCAGGTGCCTTCCGGCAGCCCCGGCACGCCACCCGGGGCCTCCACACAGAGCCACGTCCTTGCCACATTCACAAGTTGCCCAGGGCCCAAGGGGCCCTACAGGAAACTGTCCTTCTGTTTAGTATGGTCCAGAGATGTGGAGGACGAGCTATTTCCATAAATTACCATCCTGTGCGGCTCTGGCATATTGAGGAGGCTTGGCACTTGCAGTGGGAGCCCAGCAGCATGTTAACAGCAGCCTGACCTCTGCTTGTTCTGGGACTGGTGAATTCACAACCACAGGGCTGGGCGGGGTGGGGGGGGCTGCAGGCCAAGCCGGCTGCTATCCCCCAGGGTTTGTGTCTGACGGGGACTCTCCAGACTCTCGGGGCTGCAGTTTCAACCAGGCAGCGCTAACAGCCAGCTTTAAAAATCCAAGGATGAGAGGCACTTCCCAGCGAGATCCCCTTCGCTCCAGCCAGGGCTAATCGGATAGTCTGGTCATTAAGGCATAGCAATGCCACCAGGACTCGTGAGTTCTCTTCCCAGTTCTGAGCTCATGCAAGTCACTGCCCTGAACTGTGCCTCAATTTCCCCCACCTAGAAAGTAGGGATAATTGTAATGACCTGCCTTATGGGTGGCTGTGAGGCCCAACTCTCTATGTGTGTGAAGTGCTCCGAGCCCTCAGGCACCAGGCACTGAAGAATGACAAAGTACCTTTGCTCACACCTGCCTACCCAATGTTACATTAAAGACTAAAGAGGGGACTGAGATTTTAATTGAATATTGCCTTCCATGAGGGAGGACTGTACTGCTCAGGTGCTCTAGCCAGATGTTTCCTGGGTCCCTTCATAGGGTAGTTAGTTATTCTGGCCAAAACTGGATCCTAATTGGACTCCTGAGAAATAATAATGTCATGCCTCAAGTGACATCCAGCCAAGGACCCACAGTGAATTCAGATTCACAGCATCCTGGGCGGTAGCAAAGGATCATTAGCTCCAGTTCACACATGGGGAAACCGAGGCACAGAGCAGCCCAGTGATCACCCGGCAGGCCAGTGGCAGAGCCGGGAGGAGAACCCAGGACTGCCACTCCCTCAGGGGACGTTCCTTGTCCCTGGATTCTGAACACCTACCCGGCTCCTCCTCCACGCTGAGCAGTGGGATGTCATCATCGAGGTACGGGAGTGACCCCTGGCCTGGAGCGGCTGTGTCCTCCGAGGCGAGTAACAGGTCATCGGCAATGGGCAAGGTGCTCGTCTTCCCGCACTTCTGACTGCAGCTGGATGGGGAGGGAGACAGCCAAAGTCAGCAGCTCTGGGCTACGTACCCTGTGCACAGCTGCTGCCTGGTCTCCTCCTGAGAGGAGAGTGACTGTTCCAGTGACCTGCTACACACTCCACTGCCAACACCACGCCAGTCATTTCCACTGCTAACGCGCCGGGGGGTATCAGGAGCTCGGCTGCTGCTAGCAAATCATCAGAGATTGGGCTAGATGTAGGGTAGGGGTGGGGGGGCGTGTTCCCAAGTGCTTCTGCTCTTCATCAACCAGCTAAGGAATTAAACCCGGCCGGCTGCTGTGCCACACCCAAGATGGGGGAAGGGGAAGGCGCACAGACTTACAGATACAAATCTGCATCCCCGTGCCCCCAGGGGCTGGGTTGTCCGTCTGCAGGGCCTGCGTGCCTCAGTTTGCAGATTAGATCCTGGGACAAGTTCTCTGCAGGTGTAAGTGGGGCAAACTCCATGGAAGTCAATGGGGCTGCACCCATTGATGCCAGCAGGGAACCTGGCTCCTCTGATTATAAATCTGGAGTCACTCTGCGGCAGCCACCCTGGGTCTATCTACACCAGCAGAAACAAGATCCATATGCGGCCCTTGACTCCCGGCCTGATCCCGAAGGTAGAGAATAAACCTCCCCTCCGGTAAGGGCTGAATCTGGCTGGCAGCAGAGTTCTGAGTTCAGAGTGCGTCACCTCCACTCCCCGGGGGGCGGGAGGCATGTGGGGCGAAGGGTGTTGCTAGAGGAGAGGCACACGACTGGCTGGGATGCATGACGCTCGCAGTGCTGGACAGGGCCTGGTGCAACAGCACTTTTGATGCATTGATTGCAACACCTGTAGCTCGGGTCCTGAGAGGAAACCTGAAGAGGTTGCAGCTGCTTTGAGACAGCCAGTTCTGATCTCGGTCCCACAATGCACTGCCTCGCAACAGGGCTGAACACTGCAGGATAGGGGTTTCCGAATTCCCTGAATACAGTGTACAACCACAGCCGCAAGGTGCACTAGGTCTGGATGCACCATGTGGATGCACTAACCCATGGCTAGGACAACCCAGGCGACCAGCTGTTCCCTGGAATCAATGCCCAGGCTGTGGTTTCCTTGCCTGGCATAGGCAGGCTGCTGTGGGGGAGACAGGAAGAGTCCGCACCCTGCCGCTGATCGAACAGCTCCGTGAGGACTCTCACCTGGCCTGACAGGAGCTCTCCAGGGGGGATATGTAGAGGGTCCATATTCCAAGGGCAGCCGGCATGGTGAACAGCACGGCCACCCAGCAGCAGGACACGATCAGCGACATGAAGAGACCAAAGTCGTGCACGGCCGGGATCTGCAGAGAGAACTCTCAGCTAGAACAGAGGAGGTGGAGCCCAGAGACCTTCCAGCAAGAGGCCCCACTGAGGCAACATAATGGAGGGAAGCGAACCCAAGAGGAGCCTGGGGGCGGGAACACTGGCCACTTCATGCGGCCCAAAGGCCATGGAGCCAGCTGCCCCTGGTGAAAGCTGACAACTCAGCCAGCACCAGTCCGGGGCTCAGCCGGTGGGTGGCACTTGATCGTTTGGCATTGCAGACGCTGCCCAGGCAGTCGGGGTCTTCACAGGGCGGGTGCCTACTGCATTGCTAACAGGCCAGGGGAGCTCTCCCATGTATCGGCCCTGTGCACATGCAGGAGAGGGGGGCAGAGCTCTCCCCAGTGGCTCAGGGGCAGACCCGATCCGATTCCCTCCTTGTGCTTGGTGAGCACAGTGCTGGCAGGGACAGCAGCACCAGCGTGCCCACAGCGGAGGGAAATCCTGGGGTGGAATATGCTGGGATTCCTCCCTCTGCAGTTCAGGCCCCACAGCTCCCCCGTTTGGCTGATGGGACTGGAGTCAGGAAGGGAAAAGTTCCCAGTCTGTTTGTGGAGGGACCCTGTGATCCTTAGACATGTCAGCTCTGCTTCCCACCGAGCCGCCTTTCCCAGCTGGGGGAGCCAGACCAGGAGAGCCAGGCGTAGATGACAACGTTAGCAACGTGCCCCATTTGCCTCCCAGGTCCAGCACATTGCATGTGCCACAGGCCTTGGGAACAGGAGTCCCGAGCACATCAGCTGAGCTCCAGCTCCCTGCAAAGCCGTATGGCTCAAAGCACCAGGAGAGCTGGCTTTGCCACAGGCCCAGGGCAACAGAGCTGGCCTAGAGTGTGTCAGTCTCAAGCAGGGAGAGCACACAAGGAGCATTTACACAAGCCTGAGAGCTCAGGGAGTCTCCCTCCAGAGCAGGCCCATGTGGGTGGCAGGGGAGCTGCTGAAAGGCCGGGGATGATGCCTTCTAGCAGGCGGCCGTGACCTCCAGGGGGCCGCTGCAAAGCCCTGGCGCACCTGTGAGAAGATGTTGGCGGCGTAGGCCGCGGCCGTGGTCAAGGAGGTGAAGAAGGTGGCCTTCCCTGCCGTCTGGATGGTGTGGATCATGCGCAGCTGCAGGTCCTTCAGGTGGGTGGCTTGGCGGTAGGTGTTTATGAAGACAAAGACGTCATCGACACCTGGGGGGGGGACACAAGAGAGGGGGGCAGAAATGCCGCTCGCACTGGGGAGAGATGCCTGGGGCCAGATCCTCAGTGGGCGTAAGGCGTCACAGCTCTGTTGAAGTCAGTGCAGCTAGACAAACTCACACCGGCTGGGGACCCGGCCCACCAAAGTCTGAGCTCACTGTCGAGCGTGTGCCTCCTGCCACTCGTCGCCCAGCGAGGCAAGGGCAGCCCGTTCTGCAGGCAGGCGCAGGAGTGGCAGGGCCTTCGGGCGAGGAGCAAAGGAAGGAGGCTAGGAAAGACTTACCGATCCCCACGATGACAAAGGCGGCCACGCCATTGAGGATGCCCAGGTACTGGACCCCAAACACCACGTGGTACAGGAACAGTGCCACCAGGCAGCTCAGCCCGATGCTGGCCAGGCCAAAGAAAGACAGGAACACTGCGGGAGGAGAGCGACGCTAGGACTCTCGGTACAGGAACGGCCCAGGCTGCAATCCCCGTCCTGCACGTGGGGGGTGGGCACCTGGCCTGCTCCCGCCCCGGGCAGAGTTTCAGCTGGCACGGGGTATCTTGATCAGGAGGGAGGGATTCCAGCCTGTGCTGGCTAGAGCAAGGCCGGGTGATGTTTCCAAAGGCGGGTGGTGGTTTTGAGGCGTTGTGGGCCGGATATCCAGAGGTGCTGAGCACCCACCTCTCCTACGGGTGTAATGGGAGCTGGGGGCATTCAGCACCTCTGGAAATTAGATGCATGGAGTCTCAATTCGGGCACCCAAAGTCAGAGGCTGTTATTGACCGGGTCGGCCTAAGTGCCCCCTCAGCGGTGAGGAGGGTCCAGGACCACACTGTGGGACATGGAGTCTTCCACTTCCCACCAGTTCAACTCTC